ATGGTTATTACCTATGGTTTAGCCCATTAACCGCCAGCGCCGTGACGAGTAAAATCGTCTGGCGTTAGACAGAGTATATTAGTAAAATAATAAAGTAGGGCGCAATGCAATTCAATGGGTTAGCCAGACACATATAGGAAGATAGGCTGGTTAACCCATTCAGAGCCAGCGTTCTCCCCTTGACAAGTAAAATTGTCTGGAGTTAGACAGAGTAAAATAGTCTGGCATTAGATAAAGTAAAATAGTCTGGTGTTAGACAGAGTAAAATAATAAAGTAGGATGCATCATATGGCAGTGCATGGAGGTAGAACGATTAATTTGGCGCAATACGTGAAATGAACTATAATGGATTTGTAATGTTTAGTACAACCAATTTCTCATATTAATATTTATATTTGCAATATTGATTAGTATTTATTAATATTTATATCTATTTTTTGCATTAAAAAATTAAGAGTGATAAACAACATTGTGTGTCATTTACTATTTCATCTAGATTCTAGAATTTCTGGGAAATTTTTATAGGAAATTATTAGGATAAATTATTTTCTTATAGGAATTCCTATAATAATTTGGGACTAGGTAGTCCTGTAGGAAAAATTCTTATAGGAATTCTTGTAGGAAAAATTCCTATAGGAATTATAGGAATTCCTATAGGATATTTTCATAAGGGATAGACTTATAGGTTATTTATGTAAATATAAACAGTAGAATCGTAGGTACTGTCCAAGGGGATTATGAGCCCTTGGTTATGTCCAAGGGGATTATGACCCCCTCTGGCAGGGTTCTATTGGGGATTATGAGCCCTAAAGCATTCGGTCTCTCCTATATATATATATATATATATATATATATATATATATATATATATATATATATATATATATATATATATATATATATCTTTGTTTTATGGTAATAAGAAATTATTTTTCTTTCTAAAACTTCACCCATGCAAGACCGTCGCGAAGGGATTTAAGTGTAAATGTGTTTGTGCAAGTGTGTGTCCGGGCAGGGGCGGATCTAGGGGTCGTCAAATCAGTCGCGCGACTGAAGTAAAAATTGCCTACTTAATTAAAAAAAATTCGACTCCAGCTATTTATAGCGGCCAGTAGATCGAGTTATTAAAATTTTGAATCGTAGTCCAGTTATATGTTTCATGCTACGGCAGAGCTTCGGTAAAGTAATATTAGTCAGTCACGAACAGCGGTCTTACGCATGAATGTTGACGGATTCGGGGGTTGAATCCGGCTATCTGATTGGCTGACACTCTCATTTCCATGGTTACGGCCATTTGCGACGGATCTGTGGGGAGGCCTGACGGATTTGCAGATTCAGGGGCTCTGTATGAGCCTTCTGATTGAACCATTTAAAAAAATTCTGCACTGTCATTGGCTTATATTTTCGACGGATTCGCAGCGTGAGGTATTCGTCAACACCGCATTAGTGTTTACCTCTGAGTGTTTACTATTTCGAACGTTTACTATTACGAGCGATTTCTACCAGCGTTATCTGGAAACATTTTCGACAATGTTCAGTTTGCGATTGCGGCAAACAATTTGGAATCTCTATACAACGTTTGTATACGGAGCTTGAAAAGAATATCGATGCCTCACGGACGAATTTTGTTGACAAGCTACTGAGCGGCGCCATCAACAACACAAGCAGAAGCCTCGCTAGAAATTTTGGCGCAGAGAGCTACTGCTAGAGAAAGACACTGCAATAAGGTAGATAAATTTATGGTTTTATAGTGATGTATCTTTAGTTCATATTAAAGGTTTATAAACCGGAGTACCAAGCCATCGGTGTTGTTAATGATTGTCTGACATATGATATTTTAATATATTCGCTATGCTGTATTGCTGTATTGCTGTATTAGCATAATTCTCGCGTCAAGAAGCTAAAATATGTTAATATTCAATGTCTACATTGTGAGCATTTGTTGATTCTCATGTTAGTGAAGTTTTATTTAAAATTTCTTTATATTTATGCATTAATCACACAACATGTACGCGTAACGCGTATACGTGTATTGTTTATCCATAGTCTATCGACATGGCTTGTTAGACCGCATTGGTCGACGTCTGATGTAACATGATGATGTGAAATATTTAATTGTAGGTAGCTTGAAAAGCTCTTTGACTGGTAGCCATTCTGATGTTACTAGTTTATTAATAGTATATTTTGTGTTCAATATATAGACCACAGTAAGACTTTATTAATAGTAAGAGTTTAGTTTATTAATATTTGACTTAACATCTTTGACTTAGTTAATGAATATGTGGTTGTTTTTTTGGAGCTCAGGCTACTGGCAATTACTTGTTATGTATAGTTCTGTGTTTTTGGTAACAGAACAGTATATTTCCTTAATGCATTTGCTGCCATATGATTTTAGAAGTTTTACAATGATACACTTATAAGCATATAGTACCAATATGACGACGATTCTTAATCCACAGGCAAACATGTTAAATTGCTGCTGAGTTTTAAAGTATTATCATCAATATATCTTTGTGCATTTGTAGTTGTTCTTACAGTGCCTGTGGATAAGAATCAAATGTTCGTTTGAGTTTATTAAGTTAATCTAAATATGTTTTATAATTTGATTAATTAGGATTTAGGTTAATAGGTGTGTGTGGGGGGGGGGGCAAATCGCATTTTATGTACGGAAAATTCTAACATAAAACTATCAACATAAAAATTATTTAGCGCCCACTCCCCCCGTCTGGAGTCGACCACGCCCAGTCGAGACCACGCCCAGCGCCGATAACCCCCCGTCCACCAAAAAATGTTGACTGAGGTACGAAAAATCCTAGATCCGCCCCTGAGTCTGCAAACAAGTTGTTACAAATCTGTTCACAAGCTGTCAACAAGTTGTCTTCACACTGCTTGTTCCCAGTTGTTGTAACAAGTTTGCAACAAGCTGTTAACAATTTGAAACAAGCTTGATGGCATTATCAGACTTGTTACGATGTTGTTGGAACAACTTCGTAACAAGCCTGATAATATCAACAAAGGTCATTACAAATTATTAACAGCTTCTTCCAAAGTCGCCTAAAATCGCACTAAATCGCAGTGCTTGAAAGTCCCAGTTTTTCCTTAAATCGCCTAAAATCGCCCAAAATCGCATTATATCGCAGCGATTTAAGGCGATTTACCGCCCCAGAGTAGGCCTTCTTCGCACTGCTTGTTCCCAGTTGTTGTAACAAGTTTGGAACAAGCTGTTAATAACTTGTGACAAGGCATTATCAGACTTGTTATACAATTTATGTTGTTTTAACAAGTCTGATATAGTCATGATAAACCGTGAAGAATGTCACAAGGTTGACGACACAAGGTTGTTGGAACAACCTCGTAACACGCCTGATAATATCAACAAAGGTTGTTACAAATTATTAACAGCTTCTTCCGAACTTGTTGACAACTTGTGACAAGCAGTGCGAAGACAACTTGTTGGGGGTCTATTATAGGGGGTCCGCAAACCGGTCCAATTTTTGTCTCCTTCACCGTTAATCGCCCGTATTTTCTTCTTGAAAACCGTAACTGTCATTTTTCTTATACAATAAAAGTTTATCGGCCAAAAACTTCGCAACAGTCGACAAGAGGACAAAGATGGCAGATTTTCGTTGAGAAATATTTAACTGCATGATATATATTCTGGAATCTTGTTGGGCGCCTCGCAAGTTGCAGACACAAATAGAACACGATATCTCTCTGAAGAATTTCAATACTGCACGTAGCTATAACTAGCTATTATTGCAAGCTCGTGGGGGAGTACAGACATTCTGTCTGTAGGAATTGAAAGGTTTTGCTGCCCTTTCTCTGAACAAGGAAAATTAAAGACAAAATTAACTTCGTCCGTTTATTATAAAAAAAATACTTACAGTGCGTCTACAGTAAGTGGGGCCACTTAGAGAACACTAACCAATTATATTGCAGAACAAAAATTGAAAATATCAACAAACGGCGCATTAGCCAATCAGCATTAGGCCAAAAACAATTTGAACAAATAAGCAAATGTCAAACGGTAAAAATAGACTTGAAAAGTAAACACTGCAGTTAATGGCTTCCTGAATCTTTCTTTTTATTGGATGAGTTTTAGTTTGATTAGATTTTGCTTTTTGTGCTTCAATGCGATTGGTTATTGCCCTCTAAGTGGCCCCACTTACTGTAGAGGCACTATAAGCCTTTTAGAACGTACGTAAGGGCTTGTGGGGGAGTACAGGCATAATTCAAAAGAACAAAAATATAGTGTTTCACCACACTCTGAAAATAGTTTACATTTTATGCAACGTTTCGACTAGGTTTCAGTCATCATCAGGACTGACGCTATTGAAAAATACTGAGATATATATTCACAAGTTAAGCGGATCAAATTACGCGCTAATTAAATATCACAAGTTCCTTAGAGGCTGTTGTTACGTGATTATATTCCGGTTTTTGGCGATGTATATATGTAAAGACTCCTTATATAACAATAATGTCTAGATTTATCAATGTCTAAATTTACCTAAAATAGTACAGTTTTGGTATATGATGGCTTCTGTGGTATGTGGATCAAACTGATCCAGTAGTGTGTTGGGTAGGTTAAGTACGGTCTGGAAGTATTGAAAATGTTAACAGTCATGAAATAATACGCTTGTGAACTTCTGAGTTTTTGTCGGAGGAGTGTTCTTTAATACATGTTCTGAAGCAGCGGTCACTCTACGACAAATGCATGACAGCCAGGACAGCTAAATTTGTAGACAATACTACTTTGGAGCTCTTTATCGGTTCGGTCTTTTAGGCTCAGATACGTGATGGTACTCGTTGTGTCATGGCCGCGTGATAAATGTGGTAGTGGCTATCGACAATAGTCGGGAAATTTTGTTTGTGCACGAGAAATTTTGTTTGTGCGCGTTTAAGGGAAGTTCCTCTCTTCTTATGAACGGAAGATGAATCCAGATTGTGGGCGGTTTTGGTTGCGTATTCTCGTTTTCAATGTCGTTCAGCGAAAATGAACCAAAACGTGTCGTAATCAACGTCAACGAGAGTAAATACTTTGAAAGATGTTGAAAAAACTATAAGTTTTATTATATTCAAATGTGAGAATTAGCATAAGCTTGCCATTAATGGACTACTCACTGCTGCTATACAAACTATTTGCTTTCTTGACCGAAAAGGATCATTTTAGATAAAAGGTGTATATATAAGGCAATTAAAACTACATTAGCTCATCTTCTAATTAACTAACCGATTCAGTAGCTTTCCTGTGGAGCTGTACCGACCCTTACACAATACATGTTTGTATAAACTACATAAATATACATATACTTCCAACCAGTATACGTAGTTGTGCAACATCAGTTGCATATATAATTATATTACACGCGGTACATATATAGTTTCCCAAATTTTCTACCGATGCATAAAACCTAAAGACTAGGACCTACTCAGCACGAAGAGAAAATGAATTTGATTCTGTTAAAAAGGCCAAAATTATTGAATGAATGTATTTTTAGTTTGAAGATTAATTCACATTATCGGAGCAATTGTTGTGGAAAAATACGCACTTCCAAGTGCAAAAAAATTATATTTTATTGTAAAAGACGCTCGTGAATACATGCATTTGGCCGGACCAGATACTCACATTGATATATAGGTTTGTCAAAATAAACAGAACCTTTAGGTTTAAGACAAGAATTGAAATTGTGCATACATGCAGTATATCATGGAATAACGAGTGCTGCCTGCTCTCTCAGGCATAATGTCTCTCCATTGTAACATTTGTCCATGTTCATAAAAATACCCAAAATGAGCTGTTTTAACTGTAAGTATCATTGTTTATCTTTTTCCTAATCACTGCCTTTCATGTACTCATCTACACATGCACGTGAAAACACACAAGTTGTTACAAGTCTGCAAACAAGTTGTTACAAATCTGTTCACAAGCTGTCAACAAGTTGTCTTCACACTGCTTGTTCCCAGTTGTTGTAACAAGTTTGCAACAAGCT